CCGAATGCACTTTCACTATCTGACGTGTTTATGATGCGCCAGCGGACGTCATTGTGTGCGTCTGCTGCTGTGGTGAAACTATGGAAACTACAGTGTTCTACTATACAACGGACTACAACATGGATGTTTAATAAGAACGAGGGACTCATCTAGAGACTCTGCACCGTGCTCTGATGCTGTTGCTTTATGCTTTACGAACGTGGACAACAGAGAAACATATTCTTCATGACCAAAGTTGTAATTGAAATAAAAAAGGAAAGTGAAATTTATGCTCGTCACCCTCTCCCTCCGGTCCACATTAATACAAATGATCCGCAAATGCTGCGGCTACAAGGCATTGTGGGGCAGCATTTTCTCCTCTCCTTTCGGTAAGGGAGGTCCAGTGGTTCCTAAGCTAAAGGAGGTTATAAAGGAAGTTTGAAACCTCCTTTCCTTTCATTTGGAGAATTGGAACGGCACTTAACATGGCTGCCACTGACGTACTTCCGGGTCATTTCACTTGGTTAGGAAGGTTCCTAAGCTAAATGGACTATTGGAACGCAACCCTGGTCTCAGGTTACGCTGTAGGAAGTGTAGGTACAACGCTACATTTCCCGCCCCGCCGCAGTCATGATACAGTAGGCTACGGAGAGCAGCGAGAAACATTTCCTCAGGCATCGAAAAGCGGAACCGAAATTCACATTTCTAAATGATGCCGTTGGAATCTAAATGTTGGAACCGGTTCTCGGTACCCAACCCTAATCATTAGTTTAAGCTACAGACAGCTTTCCTATCAGTTTCCTCACCATGCCTCTGGAGGATGGTTGTGCACCACATGGATGATCCTGCCGGGAGGGTAGAGGGGGGTGGAGGCTGAAAGGGCAATGCTGAGGTCACTGGGGTGGAGCCACAGGCGACTGCTGGGAGGCGCTGCTGGCTGAGACTGAGGATCTTCATCCTCCACTGGAAGCTCTGATTTCGGGATGCACTTGGTGCCTCCCACAATGATCCTCCACTGAAGCAAAGAAAAACGGGTTATGCAATATAACATCTGAATCTAAATATATCTTCAGTACATTGGATGTGTTTCTGCAGCAGCCAGGGGTTAACTCTCGAGTTGTCGAGTTGTTTTCATTCAAATGTCCATAAAGCTGTCCCCCAAATATACTATCACTAAGTAGGGGTTACAAGTTAATACTACAACAGGTCTTTATATCCATTTTTCATCCTCTACAACAGGGTCAGAAGAAGTCACCTTAGGCTTGTTACTTTTCTGCAGGACTTCCAGAAGGTGGCGTCGGAAACCCTCCAGTTGTGACAGGCCCAGCCTATGAGAGAGCAGCAGCAGAATTTTTGTAAGCATGCAGCAAAGTGAAATTAAACCCAGAATTCTGCACATAGTAGAAGAGATACCTTGGTACCAGGTCTTTTCCTAATACCACAGAGGTGACAAACTCTTTTGAGTACTCCATGGCATCCTCACTGTGTAAATAAGAGAAAGAAACACTTTAATTATGTAAACAGGACATGTGGAGAGAGTAAAGCTGCCTTTACATGTACGGTCACTTTCTATTTGCTCAGCACTATGTAGGGCGTAAAACTGAGGTTAAGGCAGCCAGGCGGTTTTGTCTCCATGGTAGCGTGTCCAATTTGCCTTTGTGGCTTCTGGCTGTCACACACAGCTGTTATCTCATTGGTGAGGCTTTGAAAGGTCAGCGGCAACTGAGGTCAGAGTTGAAATAATGTGACCCAAGGATAACGCTTCCACCTAGCAGGGCGGTTCCTCTCTCCCTGTAGGTAAACATTGGCACAGTCAGCGCATCATGTGAAGGCAGCTCTCTGCACACATTTCCAACTCGCACTAAAGAACATTTCTTTAGAATAGTTTCTTCATAATATTATTTTCTGACAATATCCACACAAAGGCTCACTCCTGCAAGTGCATTTTAGTCTGGTTGATACAATACTGATAATGATGGACAGAAAATAAGCAAGAGAACATTATTATAACAAAATCACAACCGAAACCACAGAAAAAAAAGAAACCCTGTGCGCAGAATAATGCATCACACCATTAACAGGTGCATTTCTAAAATAAGGCATCGAAGTGTGATCTCACAGACTGAAAAGGCCACGATTGATTGGGCCTGAAAAACAGGTTATGTGATACTGCTTTTAAAATAGGACAATTGAGACAGTGTATAATCGATAAACACAAGAAGACCATAAAAATGATTGCTTGGAAATATATAGCTCTTGATCGATGCACATGAAAGACATAGCAGAGAACAAAACATCTCCACAGCCAGAAAGCACAATGTAACTGTGGTGAACAATGGCAGATGTTTGCCTTCATGGGTTAATAACTTCAAAAAGGTTTCCTGGTCTGATTATTTAAAGCTGTACCACTATAACTCCACTTTCAGTAGTCATTTCCGTACTGTAATGTTGTGACCCCTTGTGTCCTGTATGAAAGCTGCTAGATTTGTTGGGTTGTATTCAATCTTTACTTTTATGGTGTCGGATGACTTGTAGCTTCTGATCAAAGTCTGAAACATTTACTTCTCTTAACTTTAATAAACCACCACAAGTGCACTACATAATTTAGTTATCTCTTGGTACAGACTCCTTTCCTGCACGTTTGCATAGCAGACACAGTTAAACACTGCAGCCAGCTGTATGGCAGGGTGTGAGAAAGCGCTCAAGTGTAGCCACACAAAATGCTAATGAACTCTAAACAGTTTCGACAAAAATAAACTATTCTGAAATTGCAAAGCACAGCAAAAAACGTTTTTTGGTCTCTTGCAGGAAGACCTTTTGGTACTTTACAACTAGTAGACTAGTTTTACATAAACATACAATGCATTTTGCAAGCCAATTCTGTGTAACACTTCTAGTCAATAAACTCAGCGTTTTAAATGAGGTGATCAAATAAGGAAAAATGTATCTTTTAAAACTAAACAATATTGTATGTACAGAGGCACATACAGTAATAGAGTTTCATTCCAGGGGACCTTTGTTGCAGGTGATAACTCCCACATGATCCCCCTTGTTCCCGGTCTGCCTTTATAGATTGTCAAATAAAGCAGAAATTATAACAAAAAATCCTAATCCCTTACACCATCGTGTTTAGGCTTCACAAAGCAAGGGGCCATTTCTGATCAACGGATCATTTCGATTTCTATCGAGCAAAATAACAATTATAGGTGACTCAGGGGTAGACATTAAGGGTAAAATTCCGGGTCGGTGGAATTGTCTTATCACTGGCCCCACCATTGTAACCACTGGCCCGGAGCATTCGTCCAAAACAAAATCGACTAATAATGAAGAAAATTAACACATTTGTTGCAATAGTAATTTATGTAATAACTACATTACTACTTGTACTACAACATTTCAATCATCAGTTCTTCCTCAATTGTTCATATTTGGTTTATTAAAATAATGATATTGTGGTCATTGTTAAAAAATGTTTGCTATTATTATGAGTATTATTATTTGTATAATGCGCTTTCTGCCTTCCTGTCATTAGGAGTTAAAAATGTAATGGCTATGTAATAGATTAGATTATAACCTTCATTCTCCTAAACTGCTGGGACATTTCCCTATAGCCAACACCTTTATATTTTCTACTCTTCACTTACTTGTCAGCATAGGTCGGCATTGATGTACAGAGCCGACAGAAGACCTTGTTTATATTGGCATCATATTGAGAGGTGCAGTGACGCGTCCTAAAACCAGGAAGTAAGCTGCTGGTTCCCTCGACAAAAAGCAATGGGATTTCTCCATAGGGTTTTGGAAAATAGCTGGAAATAAGGTCTGTGGAAAACAAACCTGTTTGATAAATGCACGTTTTGTTCAGCCGGATAATCTCCACATGTCTACCCTACTTTTATAATTTTCTAATCATAAGTCTAATCGATAGATTATAAAAGGGTTTTAGGACGGTTTTAGAAGCCAACTCCATCGATCAAGCTGGCTGAAACGTTCTCTCCCTCTTCTTCTCATACTCCCTGTCACTCTCCTTTAACTCCTCCGGTGACTTTCTTTTATTTGAAGATTGCTTTTTGCCCGGTTACCGCTGGTATTAAAAACATTTTGGCGAATGGTTAGGTGGCGCGATAGTCTGTAGTGAAGGACCGCGCTCCCGCTCNGCGCTTGGCCGGTTACCGCTGGTATTAAAAACATTTTGGCGAATGGTTAGGTGGCGCCATAGTCTGTAGTAACGAGCGCGCTCACAGGAGCCTGCTCGCGCTGCGCTCCACAGCAAACAGCTGTTTGCTTTTTACCCAACAACGACAACCGACTCACAAAACGCTATGTTGTAGTGTTAATAAACGAAACAATTTAACTAAATTGCAAGTCAAAATACCTATACCACAGGACAATTTTTTTTTTTTAAAGCAATATTTTTAGTGGCCCGAGCGGGCAAGTGGAAAGTACGTTATGCTGGCCCGGGGTGTCTAAATAGTGCTTCCGGGCCAGCGGGCCATTTATAATGTCGAGCCCGTGTGGTATCGCTCTTTGGACTCTTTGCAGGCAGCTCTTCCCACCAATATCACTGACACTGGGGAGAAGAGGTGCCCTGCAAAAGAGCCCAAAGATATTAAAATACAATACCCGGCCCAGATACAGCCTGTTCACGCTGCTGCCATCAGGAAGACGATACAGAAGGATCTGTTGTCTTACCACCAGACTACAGGAAAACGTTTTATTCAGGGTAAGACTCCTAAAGTCATCCTTTACGCTATAACACAACATTTATATTTTCCTTGTTTTGCTTTTTTTTTATTGAGCAAATGGGAACATAACTGCACAACCCTGTTGTACAATGTCAATGCAATATCCTTAAATTATTATATTCTGTGGTTGGACAGTAATGTATATTTGGACAGCTTTGGACCTAGTTTTCAGTAAACAAGTGGAGAGTGTATAGCCTGTGATAGCAGACTGGTATGAAACATTATAAACATGGAATGTATGCATTCATTTGGCAAACAGGCTTTAAAAGACTTCTTTCACAATGTAATCAACCAGAATGACCTGATTTTGTTTTGGATAGTCACTTGCACTTCCTACAAACACTCCGGGATTGGCTTACCTAAAAAGGCCACCAGGTGGAGAGTAAGAGTAGCAGTGCAGTGTGGGATACTGAGGTCTCAGCAGGAAGGAGAGGATAGCAGCAGTGCCTGCACCAAGAGAGTGCCCGACTATCACCAGCCCATAGTGCATGGTGCCCTTGTTCTGAGAGAGAGAACAGAGTCATTACACTCATAAAGCACTACAGTAGTGTTAACACATCCAGAGAACAGAGGCACAAAAGGTTCATTATTGAGCCGGCCATTCTTTATAGGGTATATTAGAGTCGTGTACCAAGTCTCTTCCAAAGGCTTGGGATAAGATCATTTCCTGCTCCAGTTTCTTCTTAATGTATTCTGCTGAGAAAACCATCCCCTGAGAGGGAAAAGAAAGAGCAAGGAATTAAGTGGATGAGAGGATGGAAAAAGACACACAATTGTGAACAAAAAGTCTCCTTCAAAATATATTATTAAGGGTGCATTCACACCTAATAGTCCGTTTTCTGGTGCGCACCAGACCACAGTTTGTTACATTGTTTCATTTTTCAGAGGTTTGCGTTCACACAAAACTCAAACGGACTATAAACTTTAAACACAAGTCATGTGCACGGAAATGCTGTTCAACCATTGGTCAGACATTAAGGGGGTAAAAACGCAAATCCTGGCAATTTCTACCGGAGCCTCCGCCATGGAGCATCGGCACTTTCGGCAGGTTATTCTCATGCTGCTGTTAATCTGAAGATCAACAGACTCTAGCGGCCCGTGCATATGATTATATAATCAGACAACGTCCGTTAAAAAACATTATAACACATAATGAGAGACGTTCTGCAGTCAGGAGGGGCGTTTCACCGACGACAGGTGTTCTTACTTCTATGTAGCTGACGGAGAATTTTTACTTTACACGACACTGTTCAACACTTCATTCTGCTTCACTCTTTAACTAAACAACCGCGGATGTCTTGAAAGACTCCTTCGTAAAGATTTTGAAGACATCCGCGTTCTTGTGACACGTAAATACTACGCTTCCTATGTTTTGGTGCAGACTGCGTTCACACCAGCAATGAACCGCTCCAGAGTTCGCAAGCAAGCGCTCCGAGACCACCTATTTTAGCGGACCAGAATCCGATTGTTTAGTTCACGGGTTCCCAAAGTTGGGGTCGCGAGACCCCGAGTGGGGGTCGCGAGATGATTACAAAATAAAAATAAAAAGATTATTAATAATAAAGTTTGCATAGACATTTTCAGGGAAGGACTAGCCATCTGTATAATTTCCCCGCAAAGAGCGCAGTGTTTCTCAAACTTTTTACATACCAAGGACCACTTAACCAATAAACAACACTCATGGACCGTCCGTCCGTCCGTCGACAGGGGGTCGCCAGTCTCTGGCACTGTTATTTTGGGGGTCGCGGGCTGAAAAGTTTGGGAACCCCTGGTTTAGTTCACTTCAGAGGTCTCGGACTGCGTTCACACCGACCCAAATGAACCGCACCAAGCGGCTAAACGCACCAGGGTTCGATTCAACCGGACTATAGATGCAGGTGTGAATGCGACCT